TGCCTAATAATAATGATAATATTTGTCACTGCTAATCGCCGTAGCAAAGTACAGCAACGACGCAGCTCAACAAGGTCGAACCGAAAGCTTACAATGGCGCCTCTGGCAGCCGCTATACGGTACATGCATGACCTTGGAACACAGCTTACAGCCCGCTGGAATCAGCTGTATGTTGCTTTTTGGTGTGTGAGGAAAACCGGAGAACCCGGAGAAAAACCCTCGAAGCAGAGAAGAGAACCAACACAAACTCAACCCACTTATGGCGTCGAATCCGGGAATCGAACCTGGGCCACATTGGTGGAGGGCGAGTGCTCTCACCACTACGCCATCCCTGCTTCTCTAAGCCTAGTGAAACCACAACTTTTTCATTTGACAAAAGCTTCGAAAATCGGCAAAAACATCAAGGACACCATAGTGCTTGGGTGGGACAGGCAGATTTTAGACAACTTGAGGTGGACAAAAGGAATCACAATGGTAACTGTCAACGCTTGTCAGAGAATAAAAATTTAACAGAAAATTTGTGATAAAATTAAAAAAGAAAGCCCGCGATTTTGCTCAGGTCGCGCTCTCTATTTGCCATGGACGGACGTGGATTTTACAACCATTACTTGCAATCCGTCGTAGTTCCCCGCGTTTTCGGTGGAAGAGCCGAATGTTCCCAATATCTATATGCTCACAGCCAAATTTACAATCCCAGAGAGGCAACGATTGAAACCTAGGTGTGGTCGGTGAAAACTTTGCACAATTAGTCGTTGCTGAATTTACTGCTGATTTAAATAAATGAAAAGCAGAAGTATCACTTTGGAAGTTACCAGCAACAGGTCGCATTCTTGTTGAGTTTTTCCTAGGAGGTTTGCTTTTTTAAAGCCGAGCTCCTTTCTTCTGACAACACGTGAATAAACGCGTATCTGGTCTACCTCAGTTGTCATCACTTACGCTTTTCTGCACCAGTGCGACCTTTGACTCAGTTCGAGTTTTACTTTCCGGTTGTGGTTTTAAAGTTTCTGTGGCGTTTTGGACGGCAAAGGTGAAAAATTTTCCGAAGTGCCACCTATGCCTATGTCTCCATGTCGCGCGGAAACACGAAATTTAAGAATTCATCTCGAAAGGCACCCGCAAAGGTAGAAAGTAATCTAGAGAAATACTGCTATTACCTGTACTATTTGCTCTTCAGAGCTGCTATTAGAGCTTGTCAGATCTGTGCGGCTGTAACTGGTTAGATTTTAGAAGCTTCCATATAACTAAATCTTCATTGCGTTGAATCTTTTTCAGTCAGTCAGCGGGAAAACAGTTTGCCGATCATCGATACCGAAGCCCGAATATGTTTGTTAGACCGAATGTCACGTTATTTACATTTCATAAGAACTATATAACCAAAAGAGACATACCTTCCAATTTAGCATCGGGTTAGAAAGAGATGGAAAACTTTAGATCGCGGGCTCCTTGAGAGCTCTGACTGATTCCCATAAAACTACGTGATGTAGTTTAGCATCAAGCAGGACACAATTGGCTGGAAGATACTGGGACTAGTCGCACCGCCCCAGCTTTGCACCTACTCTTCTGTTTTGGAGGTGTCAGCCAGATTATTAGCTATTACTTGGCGCAAAACAACGTATCCTAGTAATAAGAGAGAGGTTCAGAAAAATTTACGAAGTACTCGAAGTGCTCTGTGCTCGCCATCCGTATTTTTCTAAAGTGCTCGCTGCTCGCAAGAAAAATTTGACAACTGCTCGCGGTCGCAAAAATAAACACATTGCTCGCATGCTCGCAAATGCTCGCAAAGACCATTCGATACCCCTTCATGGGTCCATCATGTGCGCCAAGGGGGTAGTCACCGTAAATTACAAGGTTCCTGTCGATTGTGTTGGTGTCTGGTTTAGACCCTTAAAGGAACAATTAATGGGGTACTGAATCTAATCCCTTTACTCATGATTTTTACTCGCCAATTACTAGTTCATTTTGCGCACCGATAAAAAAGGAAGAGATATTTTTGTAAGTGAATCTCTCTAGCTCAAGTTATCTTGTCAAGAGAGTACATGGAATTTTGGTAAAAGGCTTGCTGAATAAAATATTTCTTGTCATTCCCTCCATTAACTCCACCGCTATTATCCAAAGCAAATGATTTATGACGTGACAGTAATTTGCGGTGCAGGCTAGCTTGTCATTCAAAACCGCGGTGCCTGGATGCGTCTTTGTGTTTATAACGACTTCGTAGATTTCTTGATTGAAACAGTGATACTTCACTGTTTCAATACTGGTGATGATACAAAAACGATAATTTCTTCGTTGTTTTTTCTTGATATAGCAAGCTAGTGAAAAAAAGCCCCTCACCTAGCAGTGGAGATGGTAAACTTCTGCTATGTAACTGTTTATTCATCAAATAATTCTTAGGTATACCAGTAGATTTCTCACCCAGCATGGCCAGTCAATGTCAGGTCTAAACGGTTTTCGTATTTCAGTTGCGTTTATGTAGAAGCTGAATAATTAAATATGCTAAAATGAATTAGGTAGCCTTCTATGTTCGCTTGTTTCATTACTTTATGTTTTCACTCATTACATTTGCAATCTAGCCCATAACAATCAAGCAGTAGTCATGTGCGATGATGTGATTGAGGCGCTAACGATACAGACGAGTGATGCAAGTGCGGTTGTGGCCCAATTTCAGCAAAGTCGGTCCTTGGAGAACTTGTCATTGGAACAACCAGACTCGGAAACTGTGAAGAAGTTCCGCTACCTTTGTTTGATGGCTAAGAATACGAGAAAGCCGGATGTTGTCAAAAAATTGAGAGAAATTACGCCCGCGGGTACAACAGGTGAAATGAAATAGACCTTTACTGATGTTAGTCGGATGTCTAGGTATAAAGCTTTGGGAGTGTTTCATTTTTGCGTTAGGTTGATATTTGGTAAGGTGCACTGGTCATTGTCATTTGCTATGTTTACATGTGTCAGAGAGAGTAAATGTAAATTATAACATATGCCTCGTTCGTATATAACACTAGTTTTATGTTTGGGTCAACAACGATTGAGTAATGTTGCTTAAGCCTGGGCTAAGTGTTATGTATTATTATCACCGTGACCAGTCTGATCGTGCTTAAACAGGATAAGTGACGCAGTCATAACCTTATGTAGGGGTGCAAGCATGGGACGTTGGTTCATCGAAAAAATGATGATATGGCGGAAGTATTGTGTTACAGCCACAAAATGCGCATCAGGTGACAATGGTGATCTGCCAGAAAAGAAAATGACGAATTAGTATGCGTCTTGCGTTTATTTCATTTGAAAGAAATACCACCGTAACCATACCTTCATTTGTTCATGTTTTGCTTTCATCATGGAATCTTTCTTCCTGCAGGTCCTTCGTTGCCTGAACAGCATGATGTTGCAATGATTCCTTTGCGTCTGAGACACGGATTAAAAATTAACCTCAGCGGTGAGACGAAACACTTTGTTGATACTTACTTCTTTAATGAGGTTCTTCGTTCAGTTCAAAGTAAGTTCCTAGTTATTTCTAAACGTTTCCCATAGTCCTCCACTTCTTTGCGTATTTTTCTCGATTGTATTAATGGCTGTGAGCTCTCTATGGAAATAGGCCTAGAAATAAATCCCCAGAAGACATGAAAACAAAACTTTTTCGAGATCCTTCTTGTGAACTACCCATTTTCATCGAAAAATCTAGTCGCAGGGACCGAAAAGATGGTCAAACTGGTTTGAATTTATGAGTTTCCGGGACTCGGCTTTGCATATTATCCACGGGTCCTTACGTGTGAACCGTGACTGGGACAAGTCCTTGCGACCAAATGAAAATAATCCCATCACTGATCAGTGTTTTAAGTCTCATAACCCCTTTGGAATTCCGTTTCAAGATGGTGGCTCCATCTGCGCCTCGTGAGTACACCTCTTTAATTCCAGATAAAGGAAAGGGAAGCGGGATGGACTTCGTTGAGCAATCCAAAAATAAAATAAATTCGATCTGCTACCAAAATGCACCAACACAGTCTGATCAGGATCTGGTAGCAAGGACTAGGTCTCTTCTTCAAATTTTACGAATTTTATTTTTTCATTTCAACGCGACTCTCTGGGTTTTGGTGCCTGTATTTGAGTTCAATAAAATTTCGATCTCATGAAAGTTTCATACAAAGTTTAATGAAGAAACTGAATCTTAATGTTCATGAGTTTTGAACACGTTCTTTTACGTGGGGCAAAATAACCACTGTTTAATCAATTTGATGAGGTACTTTTTTAAAGGGATTGGCTTCCGCTTATTTTGTTATTGCATTGTTGGCTGGCTTTTACGAGAACGAGTAGGTTTTTTAATTTCACATTTGCTTTTTGGGACTTCACGTCCTTTTCACCGCGCCTTAGGTTTATCCCGATTAGAGATAGCGCACGGACAACAGGAAATTGAGCGCCTTTCAAGAAGTTTGTTTTATTTTTAGTTTATGAAAGTTCGAATTCTTCGTTGAACAGAGGCTCTCTGTAATTAACAACAACATCTTAGTTTACCATCTAAGTAAAGTCATTAATTCTGTGCTTTTGCCATCTGGAGGTGTTAATATTTTAATTCCTTTAAATTACTCATTTTTTGTAACTGTGAAATTTCTCGATAAGACAAGAGAATTAGATTTTAATACGTACTGCATTACATGGCTTTTGCTTCTGCAAAGATGATTCAGGAAGAAGTGATGTATACTCCACTGTCTTTTCCCCTACACATATTCGTTTTTGGTCACACTTTATATGGTCAGGTTATCTTTCATTTACTTTACTGACCATCGAAGTCGTCAAAAGGACAATTGAACGGTTGTATCTCTGTTCTCGGAAAAACCCACTTGATTATATGGTTAGACTCTGGCAACTTGTTTGAAGGATAGAGAAGGAAAGACAAGTTATAACATGGGCACCCCACGAATTCCATTGTTCTCGTATTCCTTGTTATCTTTTTATTTTGTTCATAAAAATTTCAAAGATGCATTTTAAGAACAAACTAAAACGTATAAAGTACTAACACTTTTTCCATGATACAACAATGATAGCAGGTACTCAGCTCATTAGTCTACTTACAATATTACTATCTTACTTTTCATGTTTATTTACACTGCTGAAAGAAAAGGCTTCTTACTCCGCCATTATTACACTTCGGCACGTCACTTACACTAAAAATCGTACACCTAAACATTCGCTTTACTTAAAAAAAAAAAAAAATTAAAAAGAACGAAAGAGAAATAGAATAAAAAAGCTAAACAGTACATTTATACTCACTAATTTTTCTAATTCTAGAACTGCTTCTTTTTCCTTACAAACTATTTTTTCAGTTGGGTAAATTTCCGTATATATCAGTATGTTCAAGACTGCTTTGCCTGTGCAAAACTGAGGCTGAGCGGAAAGGGATAAGATTAATTTCAAGACTGGACGTGACAAGCTAGTTGAAGAGTTTCTTCCAACCGGAAGAAAAATGTATTTCCTCAAACGAAAGTGATTGAGACTCAGAATATTGATCTCAGTATTTCATTGGGATTCCCCGTTCGTCTGTTTACTACGTTGAAGATTTCGAAGAATTTATTTACCTTCTTGCATGGATCGAAATGGAAAGGATCTCAGAGCTAGTATCTGGGAAAGTAAGACTATCTGGATTTTGTTTTCACCTCGTTTACATCTTCATATGCGTTCTGCAACGGAGTATCTAAGCTCCATAAGAAAAATAGTTTATTGAACTTTCTATCTAGCAGAATGCCAGTTTCGTCAGGAAAATTTTGCGAATTAAAAACGTTCTACTTGTCAGAGATTGCCCAAAATTGGCTCAAATACAGTGGTATCAAAATGGCCATTGTTCTCCCTATTTCATTGCCGTGAATCTAAGGCGGCTATAGTTTACTTCTGCCATGCAGACTTTATTATTATTCAAAATTATCCGACGAGCTTTAACGGAAACAAGGCTGAAAAATGATCACTATCGGAGAACTTGCGAATATGATTATATGAAAAATCGCTGGTTTTGATCATCTTTTCAGAGATGCTTCCTTCACAAATAACGAAGTTTATTAGAAAATTCTCTTTTCAAATTTTTGTTCAATCTGTCAGAGTATTTTCCTTATCATTCTACTTTAGATGTAAATTGTATTTGCAACCTGTCCTTATTGTGGCTTTCATTTTATTCTATAGATTAGTGCGTACTGGCCAGGTTTTTCGGCGTTTGCTTCTGTGATGTTTTCTTCTGTTTAGGCCTCGTAGTTTTAGATTCCGTAAGTTGTTTTCGTGTGCTTTTGAGATTTACCTTCAACTGCTTGATTTGTTTCTGCTGCTCGTCTATTGTTTTTCTAAGTTTCTCTTCTACTCTTGATTTAGTTTGCTCTTGTTTGAGTTGTTCTTTAACACTTTCAAGACTTATGTTTTGTTTTTTTATTTGTTCTTCTAAGCTGAGGATCTTGTCACCCTTCGCCTTACCTTCACTTTCGAGCGCTTGCAATTTACCTCCAATGTCACCGTTCTTTGTTGTTAGTTCAGTTAATTTTGTATCTTTTGCTTCGACTGCGTCTTTTAATTGTTGACATTCGTTTTCCTCCTTTTTGTGAAGTTTCTGTAGTTCACTGAACCTGTCTTTATTTGTATCAAATTCTCTTTGGAGCTCTTGCAGTTTTGTTTTCAGTAGATTCTTTTCTCCACTTTCCTTCTCAAGGGTAGAGGCACTTTTCTTCGCTGCTTCATCCTCTATCCTCTCTATTTCGTTTTCTAGGTCTCTGAAAACTTCCTTCATTTCTTTACTCCATTGATGGTCTTCCTCTTGAAAAACTGCGTTGACTTTTTCAGTGATGTTCTCTTGAAGCCCTTTGTATCGCTTATCGATCATCGTTGATATCTTGGAAACAATTTCGTTCCCCCTTCGTCCATCCTTAATCCTAGTCTCAGCATGTTGAAGCTTGCCCTTCGAGGTGCTTGACTGTGGGCAATCGTCTGAACCTGGAAAGTTATAAGTTGACAAGAGCCTGATTACGAGCTCGTTGTAAACTAAAAATAAAGCGTTCTCACGGGTGATACACATGAGAAAATAACATGCTTCTCTTTTGAACCGTTTGGAAGAATTGCAAAATTCTTGTGCTGCATGTTATGATGTGATAGCTCCATCATACTGACCATATTTAAAGGCAAAGGTGATCGCTGAGTTTCATCTCGATTGTTTCCTGCGATCATCTTTTTCCTTTTGATTTTCAAAGCTGAAGATGTAAGATGTTTACCATTGAATTGACTGAGCACTTTCTTTCAGCGGAACTAAAATGTAAGAATTGATTTGTAATAATAAAGTGGGAGGCCAACACGGCAATAAATCAATCCTATGAACACCTCTCTATGAATTTTCCTACAGCCAAGATGATGTCAATCAGCGATAAAGTGACCATGAGTTATTATCTCATTTTATTATATATATACTGATGAAATACCAGGATTTTTCCTTTTACTAAGAAATCATATCTTCATCGCAGGCAGTGAAGATAATATTTCTATCTTTCACGTGTGAGGATATTGGTGTCGCCATGGTAACTAACATGATTAGCCAATTACAAGGGACAAATGTATAAAAAAAGGTGTGTTTTGTGTGAAATTTTCATCAGTATCTATAAAATAAACAGAACATTACATGGCCCCCCTTGCGGATACGAATTTTATCTTCTCGTGCTGAAAGAATCTCTCACACGATGATAAAATTCGTATCCCTGCGCGGTCATCGAATATCCTCTATGAATATCACAGACACACAAAGAAGCACAAATTTAACCCAAGTATTAGCAGAATCAAACTTCGTTTCGATTTTCTCTCTTGGGGGACAGAACGCTTTCATTCTCTTTTAAAAGAGAAGTACTCTTCGATCACCAATTCAAAGGTGTACCTTCTTTCGCAATTTCTGCTTGCAACTTGAAAACGAAGACACGTAGGTTGTATGGGTACATTAAATGTTTTACTTACTTCTTGGCTGACATCCCTCTGTCCCAGTGGAAATGTTTTCATCTTGAACAGAACCACTTGACTGCTTCAATTGCTCTGTTGAATGAAAAATTGGTATAAAGTTTGGTTAACTATTATAACTGTGAAGGTGTAGTCTGATCGTCCAGGTGAGTGTAGTCCTGAGAAGGACTGTTGTCGGTGGTAGTGACTGACGTTTCGACAACCTGTGCGGAAGTCATCATCAGAGTCAAGTGAGTGATTGTTGTCAGTAGAATGTTCTTATTCCAGTTCGTGTGAAATGATCGGTTGGTTTTGCCGTGATGTTATTGGCTGTAAGACTCAAGTGACGTAAGTCGTTCGTGATTGGTCTGTTTCGGTCTGTCGGTAAAGCTAGGTTGTTCTTTTTCGGTCGTTTGTGATGTTTATGTCGTGAATGAGTCGTTTGTATGGGGCGGGTAGTTGTTGACATCTGTTTAGGGGAGTCTGTTCTAAGTTAGTAAACCAGCTTTCCAGAGTCAGTCGTTGAAAATAGTCAGTGCTGTAGGTTAGGCATTGCGCAGAGTCCCAGTCAATGTTGTGGTTGGTAAGTCGATGGTGTTCAGCAATGTGATTGCTGACATCACCTTTCCTCGTCGCCCGTCTGTGTTCAGTCAGTCTTGTTGTGAGGTTTCTGCCAGTCTCACCGATGTAGGAGGCTTGGCAGTCGGAACAATTGATCTTATAAATCGTTCCCTGTCTGTTCCTCGGTTCGTCTTTGTCTTTAACGTTGGTTAGTAACTGACGTAGTGTGGTGATGGGTTTGTGGGCGACGCGGATATTGAAGGGTAGTAAGATGCGCGAGATGTTTTCAGACATGCCTTTTATGTACGGTATGGTTGCTGTAGTCGTAGGGGTTGCGGTGTCGTTTGTTTCGGTAGTGGTAGTGGGTCGGTGAGTGTTTCGTCGGATGAAGTCGTTGTTGTAGTTGTTCTTCGTAAAAACACGGTGAAGGTATTTGTTCTCGTCGGATAAGCTGTCTGTCGAGTCACATACTAGTTGTGCGCGTCGTGTTAGAGTTCTGATAGTTGTGGCTTTGTGTGATGTAGGGTTGTAGGATGACTCGTCTAGTAATCTGTCGGTGTGTGTCGGTTTCCTGTAAACTGTCGTTCGTAATGAGTTGTCGTTGTGGCTTACCAGGCAGTCTAGAAAAGGAAGTTTGCCATTTTCTTCGACTTCTCTGGTAAACTGTATGTCAGTGTTTTGTTCGTTAAGGTGGTTGTGGAATGCGTCAATTTCGTCGTGTCGAACGGCGGTGAATGTGTCGTCAACGTAACGTAACCAAAGCGGTATCGTTTGTCGGCAAGTCGAAAGGGCGCGTTCCTCGATGTTCTGCATCACAATTTCTGCTATAACAACAGAAACTGGAGACCCCATGGCAGTGCCGTGTAACTGTTTGTAGTGTTTACCACTGTACTGAAAGTAAGTAGACGTTAGGCAAATGTTTAGCAAGTCCATGATGCTACTGACAGATGACAGGACGCGACGAAATCGACGCATTTCACCACTACCTTAACTGTTACCCTTGCTGTTAAACAGCAAAAAGATTTCGCTTTAATAAGTGCTTTTTGCGACTTCGTCGCTGACATTGTCAAAAAGTTACGAACTTTGTAAGTCTAGCCCGCACACCTTTTCTCTTGCGAGGGTTCAAAGCGGGCAATCCCGAGAGGGCAAGATGGGCCCATCTTGTCCGCTTGGGGCGCTGCCATCTATATGATAAAATCATGTACTTATGGACTGAGTGGAGTTCATGACGTACAGACCGAACGCAGCAGAGGTGTTGCTATAAAAGTAAATCCATTTTTCTTTTTGAAAATTGCTTGAAATAGAAAAGAAATCACCAGAAAGACTTACTCCAAGTGGCTTTTTTCTCTTCATTCGAAAGGCCGGGTATAAAAAATCACATTACGTAACAAAAAGAGAAGCCTTGACGGTGCTCTGTTCTGTTGTCAAGCATGCAGGAAGCGGCCAGAGCAAGAAAGAATTGTAGGGAGAAACACTCGACTCGCTTACCGTATCGCGTTTCCACTTTTTTCTTGAGTGCTTTAGCCGCTCCCTTAGTACTTTACAACAGAACAGAGCACAGTTAGGGCTTCTTTTTTTATGATTAAAAACTTATTACATTCTCCACGCATTACTTTCAATTTTTAGAGCAAATTTTCTCTCCAAAGCGAACTATAGTGTCGTCAGTTCGCTCTATACTCATAAACACGCTACAGTAAGTCAATTAGAATCCTCGATAGAATGGCTCAGATAATCTGATTGGTTGAGCAAGACTAAAGCTGTCAAAAATGTAAAACCATCAAAGTTCACAAACCATTAAAGGTCACCATCTGCAAAAGTTCACAAACTGAAATAGTTCGGCAGGTCGAATACAGAATTTGAAAGTGAAATGTTGAGTGAAATCCGGCGGACAGGTGCCTCATAACGCGTGGGTTTTTTTATATGACAATTAGAAACAAACCGCTCAAAGCGTATGTTTTATTAATGGACGACAGCTGAATTTACAGGAACATGAAGATTTTTAGGGCTGGGCGAGGCGGCTTTCCCCTCAACGCATCGGAAAGGATATTAGATAAACCTATTAGTTCTTTCTAGGGGCGGACGATACAGTTTCTGAGGCTTGCTTGGCTGTGATGACCAGAGATCGCCATGATGAGCTAGCTGAGCTGGACCTCAGCATGATCACAGACAGTCGCCCTGACACTGTCATGGTTTGTTTGAATTTCAACTCAGTTATATCAGTTTGTTTATTTTTTTAACCGTTCTTGTTTTGTTCTGTTTTGTTTTTGAAGACGCAACTATATAAACTAAACGAGTGTTAGCTGTGTTTTAGTTTTGGTACCGTACTTAGCTTATATGATCTAACTGAACGTGAAAACCTTCAGAACTCAGACAGTCCACGGGCTTCGTTTTCTCTCTGAGGATTTTCGTCTCTGCTCACGTTTTAATAAAGTAAATTATGGCATTGGCGTGTTTACAAACCTTTGTTTCGTTTTTCTGTTGCCACTTGCCTGCTCGCTTTTCCCGATTGCTCACTTGAAATTAACGAAGAAAAGCTAGAGAGAAGTCTGGGGAATGGTCGGACATAGTACATGGTGTGACAGCTTTAGCTAAGCTCCGTGTTTTGTGCTCTGATAGAGCACGCTCTTTTAACCAATGACAGCGCGTGCTATATCCGAACTCTTAATTACGAAAAAAAAAAAAATTAAAATACAGCCAAATGAAGTTATATACGGGTTATTTTTACAAGTATCTTATTGTGCATATTTCCTCAAATTACGATGATATTTACCTTTGTGTTTACAATCTTCTAACCGCTCATTTAGCTCGTATTTTTCTTCATAAAGTTTCTGTCTTGCCTCAGCCATTGCACTCAAGTACGACCATAATGCGTCACGCTCTTTTTGGCTTTCTTTTCTTTCTGGAAAAAATGTTTTAAAATAAGGATACTTCAAACCGTTGTCTAAAGTTAAAACGACTAAAACAACATACCTTCTTTAAGGAGACTGATGGCGTGAAAAGATTGAGTTCCGCTCAACAAGATTTCCACAAAGTCATCAAATCGATCTGGAATTTTGTCAAATAATCTATCCAGCAATTTTCTTCTCTTAGCGCGATCTCCAGACTCCTCTTCTATTGCCGCTTCATCTTTCATTTCAAAGATTCCCTGACTCATTAGGCTGTTGAGCATTTTTTTAACCTCGAGATCCTTCGCCATCTTTTCTTTTTGATGAAGAATTATCTCTTTGTGCATCTCAGTCATGCCATGTTCCTTTAAACAGCGGGATCTTTCTACCAGTCTTAATACAAAAAAAACGAAGAAAAGAAAAAAGAACTGAGTATGTCTGCTAAAGGCCTAAATGTGATAAACTCCTAATGATGTAATAATATTTGTTCCTATATGTGATAAAGTCCTAAATTTAATAGAATTTGGTCCTAAATGTAATAAAGTCTTAAATGTATAAAAGTTAGTCCTAAATGTAATAAGCCTCCAATCCCAGTGTATCGTTGTTATAGCGGACATCCACCGTAACAAAGCTTCCAGAAATCAAGGGACAATTTAGAACGCTGATTTACCGCATGGTTGTTTATATAAGCTGTACGAGAGCCTTCTCCATATTCCAGAACATTCTATTGAGTTATTTTTAAGGAAATGTCATCATGAGCGTCTAGAATGTTCTTGATACTAAAAATATTGTTTTAAATATAAGTATGATGTAATCGACTACTGTAAATAAAGTTTTCAGAAGCTTAAACCAGTGAAAGCTCGGTCGCAGACTAATATAACGGAAAACAAGATTCTTCTCCAAGCTTCGTGACACGCAATGAGATGCGACAGTGACAGCTGTAGGTTAATTGTTTTTTCCAAGGCAAGTGATGTGGAATTAACTCTAGGGAAGCGTTTCATTTGAATATTTTTGGCATTTTGTGTACCGGTACATGAGGAAAATGAGGTAATCTGCACTAGAGCCATTAGGAGCTTGATTCGATTTGAGTGTATGACTAATTTAGGACAGTATAAACAT